TGGATCTTCGTAGAGACCTTCGGGTGTGTGTTGACCTGGCACTCGTAGGTCCCTTGGTCGCGCTTGGTCACGCCTCTGATCTCCAGGATCCAGTCCTCGCTCTCCTCGACGTGGCTCACCTGAGTAGGAGGGGAGGGGGGTTCGATACGTGGTGAGAGGGTGAGAGGGGAGGGGGGAAAGGAGAAGGGATGGAAGGAGGGGAGATGGAGAGAAGGGGGAGGGAAAGACGGAGGGAAGGAGGGGAGAGGTAGAGAAGGGATAGAGAGAGAGGGAAAGAAGGGAAGAGAAAGAGGGAGAGAGGGAGAGAGGGAAGGGAAGAAAAGGGGATGGAAGGAGGGAGGGAGAGAAGGGATAGAGAGAGAGGGAAAGAAGGGAAGGGAAAGAGGGAGAGAGGGGAGCGAAGGAAGGATGGAAGGAGAAGGGATGGAAGGAGAGAGGGAGAGAAGGGATAGAGAGAGAGAGTGGGGGAAAGAGGGAGAGAGGGAGAGAAGGGAAGGGAGAAATTACAGGAAGGAAAAAGAGAGAAGAGAAGAGGAGAGAATGTATCATATCACAATCTCTTTTACTTTCCTTCTTTACTTTATTCATCTCTATTCTCCATCTTATACTAACACTTAAATTACACTTAAAACTTTCAATCATAAAAGTGACAACTACAGCGACAAAAACAACAAAAAACAATTGTAACAACATTTCCATCACATATTCTTAACATTATTCTTTATTCATTTGTTTTTTTCATCATCATCATCATATTCATTATAACAAGAATAAAAATAGAGAATAATACTTTCTCACCTGGCCTAAATAAAAGTCTGACTAATAGATTTTAGTCAGATTTTTGGACACTAATCTTTCGGATACTTACTGAAATCCTGGAATCTGTTGTTACGGTGAGTCTGTCCACGGCCAGGACTGTGAGGTCTCGCGATCGAATCCATGATACCTGAAATTTAGATTGAGGGTTTTTTAATGGTTTATTTTCCTTTTATTTTTTTCTGAATGGAGTTTTTTTTTTTAATGGTTTATTTTCCTTTTATTTTTCTGGCTGTTTGTTATAGGTATATGTATGTTTTTTTTAATGCATGGTTGATTATCTGTTGGCTGTGTTTTGATGATGCGTATATTTAATTCTCTCTCTCTCTCTCTCTCTCTCTCTCTCTCTCTCTCTCTCTCTCTTTATCAATCTCTGTCTGTTTGTCTGTCTGTCTGTCTCTGTATCTGTTTGTCTGTCTCTGTATCTGTTTGTCTGTCTCTGTATCTGTTTGTCTGTCTCTCTCTCTCCGTATCTCTTTATCAATCTCTGTCTGCCTGTCTGTCTGTCTGTCTGTCTGTTTATCTGTCTGTCTGCCTGTCTCTCTCTCTCTCTTTCTTACCGGTCGTGCGCAAACACACTCGCAATCAAATAAATAAACACAAAACTGATGCGCAGTACAAAAGAATCCGATTCGGTCTTAAAATGACAATAAAATTAATATATGGCTACAAACAAGGTATAAACAACACACACAACTACGCGCAGACACACACACGCGCGCATGTAAACAACAAAGGTGAGGCTACAAACTACGCATTCACATCCATTTTCCATTTTCTCTCTTCTTTGGCATTCTCTTAAAATAAACAAATGAATAAGTATGGCGTTTTTTTCATTTATTTATTTTTCTTTGGCATTCATTTATAAATAAATCAGTGATTGAGGCCCACTCTCTCTCTCTCTTTTAGCATCCTTAAAAATCAATAAGGCCTATTATCCCGTTTTCTTTTTTTTAGCATGCTCTTAAAATAGAGTATTATCGTCTTAAACGTCAGTAATGAAGGCTTACTTCCTTTTTTTAGTATCGTCCTTAATGATAATAATAAAATGGTCCACTTTCGAAACATTCTCATCGACGTTCTCTTTTTTTTTCTTTATCTTCCTAGAAAAATATGTTTATTCTTCCTTAGCGTCATCTTAAAAAAATCAAGGATTAAGGCCGTCTCTCATTTTTTTCTTTTCTTTATCTTCCTAAAAAGAAAAAAGTATATTCTGCCTTACCGTCATCTTAAAATCAAATCAATGATTAAGGCCCAGTTCTTCATTTTCCTTTTCTTTAACTTACTCTTAAAAACAATAATTTTCTTACTGAAAAAAAAATCTTTCTGCCTTAGCGTCATCTTAAAAACAAATCAATGATTAAGACCCAGTTCCCCATTTTTTTCTTCTTTTTTAACTTTCTCTTTAAAAAAAACATGCTCTTCCTGCCTTAGCGTCATCCTAAACTCAAATCGATTCCCCATTTTCCTTTCCTTCAACTTCCTTAAAAAAAACTCTCTGCCTTCGCGTCATCCTACACACAAATCATTAAGGTCCGAGGTCCTCATCACCTTTTCTTTCGTCAATAAGGTCGAAAACTCCGCGTGGTATCACTCAGCAAGAAACGTAATACCAGATGGCGAAGGACTAAAAGTGACGAGACCGCAGCGCTCAGTGGCCAATGACTAGGATTTGAAGTCGTGTTGTGACGTCCCGGACATAAGAATATACACGAGAATATATTGATAGATAGATTTATTATGTGTAGATAGACGGAGGGGAGATGAAGGAAAGATATACGGAAATATGCGTGAGGTTTAAACAGATAGATATTATATATTGAAGGCCGTGCAGATGAAAAGAAAAATACAGGAAGATGAAGGAAAAATATGGGCCTACGGAAATATACGTATGGAATAAACAGATATATATTTTATACGGAAGGCAGATGAAAAGAAAAATACAGGAAGATGAAGGAAAGATATAGGCCTACGGATATATACGTATGGAGTAAACAGATAGATATTTTATCTTGAAGGCAGGTGAAAAGAAAAATACAGGAAGATGAAGGAAAGATAAAAGATTGAAAGAAAGCCTACGGAAATATACGCATGGTATAAACAGACAGATATTTCATATTGATGGCCGTGCAGATGAAAAGAAAAATACAGGAAATACATAGGTATCAACGAGTCAGGATGGTCTCAATGTTGATTAACTGAAAAGGGTCTTAGCCTTTGGGTTTATTTTACTTCAAGGGAATTGGTTTATCAGCCCGTGGCTTTGAGGAATGGGGGGGGGGGGTACTTTCTTAAGGAGGAGGTGGTAGATAGGGCCAAAGATGCCGTCTCTGTCCGGTGAAGGGCTCGTGTCACATGAGTGCGAAGTGTCAAGGTCCGGAGGGGTAATTGTGGCTCCAGGAAGGCGTTCGGCCGCGCCTCTGATCAGCTGGGAACAGATGGTGGGAAGTGCCACCGACCGGAGTTATTTGATACACACACACGCACACACACACACACACACACACACACATATACACATATACACATATATTTATATACATGTATGTGTCTGTACATTTCAACGCGTGTGTATATAGACAGAGAAATTAAACATAAACGAAAATAACTCTAATCCTCTAACACCCCTTAACAACTCATTATTAAAACGTCTTCTGTGCACCCACCACCCACCCCACCCCCACCCATGCCCCCAAGCCTACTCTTGTTTACATAACTGCCTGTCTCATTTAGGACGTTTTTACGTGTTTGATAAGCGGAGGCGACGCGGCGGGGTTATCAGAGGTGTGGGTGACATGTCGGGTGTTCTGTGGGTGGGCGCTGTGTGTGTGTGTGTGTGTGTGTGTGTGTGTGTGTGTGTGTGTGTGTGTGTGTGTGTGTGTGTGTGTTGTGTGTGTTGTGTGTGTGCGCGTGTGCGTGCGCGTGTGTGTGGATGTGCGTGTCTCGCTTTTCCTCCCCCCCGTCTTTCTTCCTTTCTGTTTTATGCCTATGTCTCTCCTGCTTTTCTCTCTGTCCCACTCTCTCTCTTCTTCTTCCCCCCCCCTCTCTCTTTTTTCTCGTGAAACACTGCTCCCAACAAAGTGTCGTGTAGGAGGCCGCCGGACGCCAAACACAACAGAACTGGTAACGTGTGGGAGCCTTCAAACATGTAGTCACTCTCACTCAGTCACACACACACACACACACACACACACACACACACACACACACACACAACACACATACACACACGCACACACACACACAAGCACGCGCGCACACATACAAGCACACGCACACACATACAAGCACACGCACAAGCACAACACGAACACGCACACGAGAGAATACCCAAACGCATACATACACATACACGCACACACACACACATGAACAAAAACAGCACACGCACACACGCAAGGATAAAAACCACACGCACAAACACACACTCGCACGCCTGCTTGCACGCTCACAACCCAAGATGGCCCAAGAAATGTCATGGCAAATGGCGAATCTCTCCCACACAGGGTATGTAATAACAGTCGGTGGCAGCTCCACAAAACACACTTAAAACAACAGCGCCACTTGCCTCTTTCGTCAAATCGCTATTATCGTCTTTATCATTTTAAGACTATATACAGTTTCTTGGTCTTATCACTATCATCACGTTTCGGTTGTGCTGTTCATGTTACTCTGATTGGCATCATTAATTTAATAGCCCAGTCATTATCATCACTATTTTTTACTACACTTTTTCATTTTTGACTTTATCATCATTACTGCAATTAATATCATCGTTGACAAAATTCCTGTTGTCACCAATTAATATCGCTCTCGGCATCTCCGAAACGTTCATCATTCACATTAGTTATATTAGGTTGTAAAATTATCTTTAACATTAACCTTATCGCTTTAATTACCAATTTCGCATTTTCTATATTTTTATAAGGCATTATTGTTATTACTCTTATCATTATAAATCATTATTATCATTATCCTTTTGAATCGTTATCATTATAAATCATCATTATAACTATTACAATCATCATCATTATTAATATTATCATTATTATACATAATTATCATTATCATTATAATTATAAATCATTATCATTATCATAAATCATCATTATCATCATTACTAACATTATCATCATTATCACCGTTGCTATTTTATCAATGCTATTATCCTCACTATTATTTCCACGATTATCCTCACCGCTCCCCTATCCTCCTCCTCCTCCTCCTCCTCCTCCTCTCCTCCTCCTCCTCCTCCTCCTCCTCCTCCTCCTCCTCCTCCTCCTCCTCCTCCTCCCCTCCTCCACCCTTGTTCCCACTCTCGTCGTGGGCGAAAAATTCTCCCCCTAATTAGTTCGCGTCAACTTTTCCAATCTTCCGAGCTGTCTTTCAAAGTTTTTGTTTTTCTTTCTCTTCTTCTTCTCTTTCTTCTTCATCATCTGTCTTTCTTGAAATTTCCTTTGGCTCGTCTCTTTGTTTACACTAACCTCGATACACGGGCTTCAGTATTCGCAAGGGGGTAGGTCGGTTGACAGAAGACGGTTGAGAGATGCAGTTTGTAAAGGGGTAGAGAGGGAGGGAGGGAGGGAGGGAGGGTGGGAGTTTGGGTGGGTGGGAGTTTGGGTGGGTGGGTGGGTGGAGGGAGGGAGGGAGGGGAGGGAGGAGGAGGGGAGGAGGGAGGGAGGGAGGGAGGGAGGGTGGGTGGGTGGGTGGGTGGGTGGGAGGCAGAAGGAGGGATAAAGGGATAGAAGGATAGATGGATAGATAGATAGATAGATAGATAGGCAGATAGATAGATAGGTAGATTTTGTAGATAGATGGAAAGATATAGATGGATACATAAATAGATAGGTAGATTGATAGATAGATAGGTAGATCTTATAGATAGATGGAAAGGTAGATGTAAAGAAATAGATTGATACATGGATAGAGATAGATTGAAAAAAAAATGCCACCTGTTCTTGATGTTTATTCTTATTATCGTTTTGATCGGTGTTCTTAGTCATTATTACTATTATGATAATCATCAACACTTCTTATTGTCATTATTGTTATTCCTGTTATTTTTATTATCAGAATAAAAATAATAATGATAATAATCACTATTGTATCGTTACCATTATCCTCATTATCATAATGATCATCTTCATCCTGATTCTTATCATTATAGCTATTATCATTCCAACTATTTTTCTTAGCAGTTACAGTCGTAATAATTTCCTTATCACAACAAATACGGCCGTTGCATCATTAAATTCTTTACTTTTTTATCCGAGTGCAGACAGACCGAACAGGGGAGAAGGGAAAGTAGAGAGAAGAATAGAAATGATACAAGTACACACGTTTTTTTGCATTTAGACATGAATCATGTTTTGCTTCTCTTAATAAAACAGTTGCATGCATGGCTGCTTGCACACATGTTTCGCTCATCATCGTTAAGCCTTTCGATAGGTGACGAACCAATGAAAATAGATTCTTTTTTTTGCGTGATGATTCTATCACTATTATTAGTACTGCTAAGTACAAGGAGAGCCACATCAGGAGAGGGAGAGGGAGAGGGAGGAGGAGAGGGAGGAGGGAGGGAGGGAGGAGGAGAGAGAGAGGAGGGAGGAGGAGAGGGAGAGAGGAGGGAGGAGGAGAGGGAGAGAGAGAGAGAGAGAGAGAGAGAGAGGAGGGAGGGAGGGAGGGGAGGGAGGGAGGGAGGAGGGAGGAGGGAGGGAGGGAGGGAGGGAGGGAGGAAGGAGGAGGAGGAGGAGGAGGAGGAGGAAGAGAGGAGCGAGGAAGGAGGAGGAGGAGGAGGATAAGGAGGAGGAGAGAGGAGAGAGGAAGGGAGAGGAAGGGAGGGAGAGAGGGAGAGAGAGAGACGCGCTAGGTGCGTCTGTGAAATCCCTAATTTTCGTTTCGTGTTTTCTTCACCGTAAAAGCAGCAGCACAACATACGATGGACAAAATCATAATTGTAAGTTTGCATTACGTTTTGCATATTTTCACACACATACACACACACACACACACACACACACACACACACACACACACACACACACACACACACACACACACACACATCATGCCTAAGCCTCAAAAAAAAAAAAAGGATAAAAAACACATGTTCACAAACCTAGTAAACAAAGTAAGGCAAAAAATCGGTAAATGGTAGGGTCCCGATAACGCCAAATTCTCCGATCTCACAAGACATGGCGCGAAGGAATCCTCGCGTGAAGGACATTGCTAGCCAGCCCGCCCGTTTTTTTGTGTTTTTTTCGTTGCGTTCTTGTGGCTCGGGCGTACTGTGGCTGCCTACGAGTTTACACGCTCACGCCCTGTACGAACGGTGTTGCTGAATGCGTGTTTTCATGTAAGGCAAAAAAAAAAAAAAAAAAAAAAAAAAAAAAAAAAAAAAAAAAAAAAAAAAAAAAAACGAAGAGAGCAAAAACAAACAAATATACAGAAAGGCAGCTAAAAGAAAGGTTGGAGTGCAGGTGTAATAAAATAAGAAAAACGAAAATAAAAGAAATAAACAGAAAGGCAGCTAAAAGAAAGGTTGGAGTGCAGGTGGAAAAATTAGAAAAACGAAAAAACAAAGAAATAAACAGAAAGGCAGCTAAAAGAAAGGTTGGAGAGCAGGTGTTAAAAAAAAGAAAAAAAAGAAAAGAAACGAAAAGGTGGCTTACTACGACTGCTGATCAACGTCGAAAATCCACCTGTTAACGGATTCTCGATGCTTTCATGTCAACACTACTACAACAAAGCTGCCTCCACAAGCCATTTCAAAAAGCAAACGGACCAATGAGCGACCGCCACGTCCCGCGCAGCCCTCCGGAAGCGTTGCGGATTGGCTGTTCGAATTCGTCGCGGGGAACCAATGGGTCGGTTAAATACAGAGCGTCTGGTAATGAGGTTAGGCGACGCAAGGTGCGACACTGTGTCATGAGCGAGCGGCGTCGTGCGGGCACAGCGCCAACGCCGGCAAGAACATGAATCAAACGGGAGGAAAAGGAAAGAAAAACTTACGTACATGAATTAAAAAGAAGGAAAAAGTGCCATAGGCTGACAAGACACCTAAAAACGTTTCTATGCGGGCTGTGCAAGTGAATGTTTCGCTAGAGTTATATATATATATATATATATATATATATTATATATATATATATATATATATATATATATATATATATATATATATACATATTTCCCCGAAGCCTTTCCTTTACATCAATCAAATATCCATAACAAAATATAAAATTCTTAAAAATACGTACCACTTCTAAGCTTCAAATGCATAAATACTTTCGCCTAGACCTAAATACATACTTAAATAATCCGACCAACTCGTGAATCAAATAAATTCGATATTCAGCACACTCTAAATCAAACATGCAAGTCCCCGCGCTTATCAGCCGTCATCGAAGAAATCTGACAGCCACTTATCAGACCCGAGAAGCCATCGCAGTCCTTAACTCACAGCAACAAGGCTTTCCTCTCTTCACCAAACCTCAAGGGTGGAGATTTGTCTTCGGTCTGTCTCGTAAGCACATGACTGATCTCAGAACCGCCCAGGCTTTCGCATATAATTACCACGAATCGTCTAGCACATTCATCATTTGCAGTCATCACCTTGCACCTTGCACCTTGCTCCGGTTGCGAATGTCAACGCCGGCGGGGAAGATTTACGTGCGGGTGTGAAAGATGGGTTGTTGTATCCGCAGACTTTTTGAACATAGTTTCCCCCGCAGTTTTGTCAATATAAAAAAATTGACTATATATTGTGCATGATTGTATATTCGTAAAAGGTTATTTATTAACGTTATAAGAAAAACTGATAAATCCGAGTTTATCATTTATCACCATCCTAGATTCAACAAGGGCCCTCGCCAAAAAAGTAAATGGTATTACTACTACCACTATTACTACTACCGATAATGATTATAGTAATGTGATTGCTCATTATAATCAAAACCTAAAACAACCCTAAACCAGAACAAATACAAATCATGTATACGGGTAAAACTAAGAGAAAAACGAGAAAAACCTTACCGTTCTGTCCCTGAGGTTGAAGACGCGACAGGGCAAGGAGACAGCGTAATCCAAAATGGCGGTCATGTTCAGTTCCTCCGTCGCCAGATAGGGCTGTCCCGTGTCCTCCGAGCCGTAGAACCATTTCCGGGATCCCGCCTCCAGCACTCCTGAAGAAAGGGAGGGGGGTGGGGGTTAAAAGTTTTCCTGTGGTAGGTTTGCATGGGTGGTGTGCCTAGTGATTTTTATTTTTTAGATGTTTTGTTTATGAGATGTTTTCAATACTATCCATATGTTTTCTATATTTGTTGCAAAGACCACGGTTTATTTTGTATGTTTCATTTTTTGTGTCCATATTTCTCTCTCTCCCTCCCCACCCTCTCTCTCTCTCTCTTTCTCTCTCTCTCTCTCTCTCTCAAAAAAAATCATGGGACGTATCCCAGAAGTCCTCGCAGCTCTGTTGTATTTGAGAGAACAAGTAGAGAGTGTGTTCTTGGCCAATAAAGCTTTCCAAACGGAGATTTACCAAATTTTCCGCATTCTGAGCCGAAAAAAATAGGCATAGAAAATTTCCCCAAACATTGTAAAAATGCCGAGTTCTTCCTCCCTCTGATCTTTTCTTTTTCCTTCGAAACTTTCTTCTTTAAAATGTCTTCAGCAGGAAACAAAATTTATTTCATTCTTATTCTGTCCACGGATTTTATTATTTTTGCCTGTTTGATTATCATATGATGAAAAAGTGAATACATGCCTAATCACAGAAGAGGTTATAATTTCATGTTTTTCACAATATGATATAAAGAAAATATTGTTCTAACAAAATGAAAATTTTGAAAGCTCTTACTACAAATATTCCTTGCCAATTTGGCAGATAAGTTCCTCAAATCATTGAATAAAATATTTTCTTTAATCATATAAACGGAGAAAAAAGTGGAGAATAAAATTTAACGATCGAACTTACGCTAGATCCCTTTCACGCTAAAGTGCTCCCCACAGATTTTAAACGGTTGCCATAATTGCTCTCCTGAAAGGTGGCTTTCAAACTCCCCTTCCCCTTCATCATTGCTCTATCGCCTCAAGAGTTACGGCTTCTTGTCACCCTCGGCCCTCTTTCGCAGGCACAGACCTCAAGTGGAAGCCCCGTGAAGGCTACCATGTGTCGAATCACACT